ACAGCAGTTATCCTGAAAAAATGTTTACCATAATTTGATGAGTTTGGCTACTCAATACGTGATCATCATAATCCTAAAAATAACCATGGTTGAAAGATATCAATATTTTCAAAAAGGAGATCTATTAACAGAAATGCATTAACATTAACAGTTTTACTTTAAAAAATGCATAATTAAGTATAATCCGAATAATTGAAATGTATATAACATTTTAACGGCAGTCAAAGGATTTCACAAATTACCTTACTGGCATTCCAAGTAAGTCACCTATATACCCCATCAGCGTCCTGATGGGTCCACTTAATCCCTATCGGCGTCCCAGATAGGTCCACTTAATCCCTGTAGGTCCACTTATACCTCACCGGTGTACCGGATGAGTCCATTTAATCCCTACCAGCATACCAGATAGGTCCACTTATAGCTCACCGGCAAACCGAATGAATCCACTTGCATACTTAAAGTATTTCTAAATCTCTTTAAACATTTGAAAGCAGCAATATCATGTACTCAACATATCACTGAAATTATTAATATGAATTTCACTGAAACCATTAATAACAGTCACTTTCAATAACAATTAAAAAATAACCAGTCAAATATTTTGGGCTCAAATTTAGAAAGGTAGTAGTTCGTAAAGACATTCTAGCGTAATTGCCAATCTAATATGTATAGGAAAATTCTTATAGAAATCTAAGAATACAGAATTATCACAATTTATGGGATGTTAATTCGTAAATAAACATTTCACAGACAATGCTATAATCAATTGCAAAAATATCAGTTTTCAAATAATAAGGCAGTCATTTGCACAATAAATTTACAATGTCTAAATATTAAAAAACAGTAGAAAGAAATCTCACAATTTTACTAACAGCAGAAATATCACATTTATTTATAATAATTTTACAGTATCTAAAATTTTCTAACAATAGACAAGAAAAATAAATAAATTTATTTTTCTAAGAATTTACGGCATTTAAGATTTCTAACATAAATAAAATATCACAAATTTATTAAAAAGATTATTTTTCAAAATAATGAGGTCGCTTGCGCATAAAATTTATTACGCCTGAAATTCATGATAATAAGCAGAAATAATTATTTCATTTCATTTTTAAAAAGAACGGATTATTTTTCAAGATAATGAAGTCACTTACCTAAAATATTTGAGAAATAGCTTTCAATAAAAATTCGGCTAGAGAGATGAGCTCACTGTGTTTGTAAGAAAGAGAACGAAAAAGGAGTTGTTAGGCGACGTCTTCCCTTTGCATCCTATTTAATTTATTTAAAACACCTCCACCTGATACATGAGGTGTAACATTAATAGTAAACCTCCAATGCTTCCAACCCACGTCTACTAAAGGACTTGGAAGAAGGTAAGAAAAGTGAAGGGTAAAAAGACATACAAGTAGTGATCGTCCTTAAGGACCATAATGCCTATATGGACCATCATACTATAAAGAGTTTTTATTTTTTATTTTTCTTGAAAGTTTAAGATTGTTACATAAAGAGATCTTGTTTTCTCTGATAGGGTGCCAAATTGGGAGAGATTATTGCAACTGATCGTCTTCCTCATCGAATTATCTACAGGGGAAATACTATTGGAATTGATTCCCTCGGTTAATTTCACCCCAAATACCGCAACATCGCCATTTCCATTGCTGCTATCTAGCAAGCAAGTTTGCAAGTTGTGGCCATTGTTGCTGCACTGTGAGTAGCTCCGCTAAGACATCCTCTCTCTAGTGCCACCCCCTCTCTCTAGAGAGAGAAACAAAGGAGATAAAATGCTTTCTTTCTTTCTGTCTGAAACTAAAGAGAGAAATAGAAGAATATGGATGGTTCGAGTTGGAGATCCAAATTTAAAGGCGACCAAATTGGGAGTTGGAGACATCTAGAGAGAAAGAGAGGCTGAGAGAGGATAGAGATGGAGTTTTCATGGAGAGAGAGAGGAAAGAGATACATAGTTTTGAGAGAGTTAGAGATAGAGTTATTTAAAAAAATGTTTAGATCAATAATGTATGGTAAAAAAGGTTGAGGGAGTAAAAAGATAGAAAAGATAAAAATTTTATGTCTTAAGAAATAATTTAAATTTTTGGATCTCTTGATAAATGGAAGCAAATAATACGGATGAGTAAGGAAATATTTTCGCTTGTTGGTCTTACCCATCCCCACGAAATATGTTTCCCTACTTTATTTATATGATATTTTATAACAAAAAAACGTGGGTGGAATGGAAATTATGTTAATTTATTTAGCTCTTACTGAACATCACACTGTTGGGACCATCAAGTAGGATTCTCACACGTTATATTTATCTTTGAACTTTGAATGTGGAGGACGACCTCTAGAAGACTCGTTGATACTAGGAAAAAAATAGAAAAGGAAATTGACAAGAGAGAAAGAAGCGTCTTACTCCTGCGGGAGTATGTTATCCAGTTGCTCTTTCGCATAAAACCAGAGTGTTTTTAGGACTGGAAATTATAGGAAGAAACCTCTTGAATCTAACAACCAACTTCAAAAGAAAAAACATTAAAAACAGACTGTCTGTGCCCCTAAAAAAATAAAGTCATGAGAATGAATTGAGTCCTTTTAATTTTTCGACAATTAGATCTAAATGTTAAAAAACTCAAAATTTTGGTTTTTAAATTAATTATTGATTCCCAGATTTTTAGATGAAAAAGAAAAAAAAAGAAAAAAAAAAAAGAAACAGCCCTTTCGGCTCAAAGGAGTTATTCTACAGTAAGCTCCTCTTAGACAATAGAAATACCACGATGGAAATAAATGGGGTTGGGCATCTTTAGACAATACCGTCCCAATGTTGTCTTAACCTCGTCCACAGGTGGCCCGCATTTGCGGAAGATCTCATAAAATACCAAACCCATGAGGCTCCTAGTCAAATTTTTATAGTATACCCTTTCTGCACTTTCTTCACAAGAATTCCCTAATAATCCTTAAAAAAATTAGAGCTCGGGCAGGGCTTCTTCGAATCGGATTGGCCACGTGGAAACCCGAGCCGAGTTAGGGCCGGGCCAGCCACCATATCAAAAAATTGAATAAACTTGAGTAATTATAAAAAAGACATTAAAAAGTCATCCAAGACCCGAAAATTGATTTTTATTTCAAAAATAAAAACTGAAAAAACTTGAATAATTATGAAAAAGACATCAAAATTCATCGAAGACTAGAAAATAGACCTATATTTCCAAATATGTGGCTGGTGATCTAAGTTATTATTGATGTCTCTAGTCAATTCTGTTTCCTTGCATACTTTCCCTCTCAAAAGGGGCAATTTTGGATCCACCCCCCTTTTTCTCTCTCATTCCATTCCATTCCATTCCATGTATCTATATTTCCCCTATCAAAAGAGGAGATTTTGCACCTCTTTCCATGTCCCAAAAAATAGGAAAAAAATTGTAATTATTACTTGTTAGCAGGACTTCAAAATGTTTAATACCAACAATGGGCTGGCTAGGGTTTCTAGTGTTGGCACTATTGAAGAGATTCCGGGTCAAAACACTTTAAAATACCAGGACAATTCCTTTCTCCCTTTTTACGTTGGGGTAGGTTGACACAAGTTTGGGCAAGGCATAAGTTGCCATCTAAATTCAAATTTTTGACCCTTAGATGAAAGTTTAATGCTATGTTACTTTTTTTGTGAAGAAAGCAAGCAACATTCCAAGCAATTTATATGTGAAATTTGATGATTGGAGTGTGTCAGAGTTTTTTTTTTTTAAATTAATTGAGATCGGCTATATGAATCATGATATGCTATTCTACTATATTATGGTTGACCATTTTTGTCATCCAATTTCTAGATTTGTCTCACCATCTAAAGTTTAATATTGCATAAACCGTCCATTAAACATCAACATCATTGCCTAAGCAAGAGCTAATACAAGTCCACTTTATACCGCCGAAAAGAAGGCCCGTGTCATGTGATCCATATGGTCATCAAAAGCCCATGACTACGAGTTATCGCCATCCGGTTAGTTTATGAGATGGCAAGGGAGGGACTGAGTCCCACTGTTCAGCTTATTTAGTAGATTGGTTAACCTTCATCACTGTTTCACCAATTGATTCAACGGTGATAAACCACTTGATCATGGTTTTCAAACCATGTCACATTGGTCGCTTTGTATTTTCCTTTGAGGTGTGGTCTGCATAAACGGAAAGTTTATATAGAGTCGCGACTCTAAACAATCAAATTTGAGCCTATTTCAAAAATTTCATTAAAAGAGGTTGTTTTTATATCCAAATATCCTCAAGTTGATCATCTCGACATCAAAATGCATAGACATAAAAAAAAAGAAAAAAGATTCAAGTATTGGAAATATGGTATTTTGCAACGCATTTTTAGACCGTCAATTTTGAAGATTTTCAAGTTTTGATAGATCTATCAATCTACACTATTTTTGAAGCTTTAAACTTTATAAATAATGGTGAAAATATATTTTAAGACTATCACAAAGATTTTCAATATTGAAACCACATTTCTAGACACTATTTGAAGGTAGGCTTTAATTTGATGGTTTAGACCCTAAGCGCTATACAAACCGCATCCTTTGCATAATATGTCAACTTTAAACAATCAAATCAAAGAAAGGCACACCTCCAAATTTTATTGAAGGATATATACTTTTGGTGTCGAAAACTCCTATGATGGCTAAATTTATTTTCGCCTTTTATTATAAAATTTAAATTTTTTAAAACAATACAAAAACATTATCTCTTATTTTTAAAACCTTTAATTTTTTATTTTCTATATCTATATCCATGCATCTTGAGATCGAAAATGATCGTGTAGAAGGTTTTCTAGAATTGAAGCAATTTTTTCTAATGAGTTTTTGGAGAGTATAAGGTTTACTCCTTATATAAACTTCATTTTATAAAGAAAAACCAGTTAAATGTTTTGTCATTTTAAAAATTATCTAGGGCACGTGATTTATTTGTCCCTCTAAAATAGAGATTTCTATACTCCCATCTGGTTCAGCCACCGTCACTCTCAAAATAGAAGAGAAGAAACAAGGATCAATCACGCTCAGCAGAACACGTCTCTTCTTCCAGTAAGTCTTCTTCCTTTCTCTCTCAACACTTTCTCTCTATACATTTCCGCATCTCCATGGCGTTACAATGCCCATGATATCCGCCTCCCTATAAAGATCTTCATTCCCAAAATGAACAACGAGGAAAATGGAGCCCCATAAAGGACCATTTTCCATAACGCTCATCTTACTGTAAGTTTCTATCTCTTTCTCTCTCTACCTTTTCATGGCGATTACAAGCCCTGGAAACTTTAAGAACCCTAGAAACTTGCAACGAGAATAGCTGTGGTCTGTGAAACCATGGAGGAGCTCCTCCGCAAAATGCTGCCTAATGGAGCTCCCATACCTGATGAGGACCATCTGGATTACTCTTTTGCTATGGAATATGAAGGTCCTCCTCTTTCTTATGAACTTCCTAGGATAATTCCAGTTGAAATTGATCGAATTCCTGAAGCTTCTCCTCTTGCCACCTCTCTCTTTAACAAGTTGCTGGTTCCTATTGTTCAGCCGCTGAGTTCTAGGGTTTTGCAGCTCCAAAATTGCAAAAGTGAGATTGGTGTTAATGGAGGTGTTAGGGATTTAGATGAAGTTGAGCCTCGTGTACAGACGGATTGTAAAAATAGTGAAAAATTCGATTTAGAGGAGTTGAATCGGGAGTCAAGAGATTCTGGCTATGAAAGTTATGAGCAGTCTATGGGGGTGATTGGGGAGCCTTTAGAGAGAGAGTGTTTGGTTTTGGATGAAAATGGGGAGGATATGAATTGGGTTTCGTCAGATTCCGATTCTAGTGCTTACAGAGTCTCTGGAGATGTGAGTGAGCCATGTCTGGAGAAGGAAAGTTTGAAGGTTAATGAAAATAGGGAAGTTCTGAATTGGGTCTCAACTGATTCTAGTTGTGCTTCTCCTCTTTTGTCTTCAGATGCTGTTAAGCCATTTTTGAAGTCTATGAATGGTATTGAACCCATTTTAGAGAGGGAAAGTCGAAAGCCTAATGAAAATGGAAAAGATTTGAATTCGGTCTCAACTGATTGTGGTCGTACTTTTCCTTTTTCACCCTCGGATGCTTCTCATGCTTGTGCTAAGTCTTTAGATGGGATTGAACCAACTCCAGATAGAGAAAGTTTGAAGCTTAACGGAAACGAGGATGATTTAAATTGGGCCTTGACCGATTCTAGTTGTACTTCACCATTTTTGTCTTCAGATGCTTCTTCATGGAAAGGAGAGGGTCATGAGTTGCCTTGTGAGGCTAAGATGGCACAGGGAGTTACCTTTCTTGTCGAGGGAGAATCTCAATCTGCTCATCATGATATTGTAGAGATATCTAGTGTTACCCATGATAATGTGCTTTCAACCTCAACATCAGAAGAGAATTCGGTTCTTTCTCAATCACAAACAAGGAGAGGGGTGTGTTATCGATGCTTGAAAGGCAATAGATTCACCGAAAAGGAGGCTTGCATTGTGTGCAATGCAAAATATTGCGGTAATTGCATTCTTAGGGCCATGGGTTCAATGCCTGAGGGTCGAAAGTGCCTTACTTGTATTGGGAAGTCCATTGACGAGAGCAGGCGACAAGGTTTGGGCAAATCATCAAGAATACTAAAGAGATTGCTTGATTCCTTGGAAATTCAGCTGATTATGAGGTCTGAAAAAACATGTGAAACTAATCAGATACAACCAGAGCATGTCTTTGTGAATGGGAAGCAACTTTCTTCAGAGGAGATGGCTTCTTTGATGAGTTGTGCAAAACCCCCGGCAAAGGTTAAACCCGGGAGCTATTGGTACGATAAAGTTTCCGGTCTATGGGGAAAGGTGAACTTTTTTCGGTGGGCTTTGCTTTAATCTCTAATTTATACTCAATTTTTGGCTTGGATTCTTCATTTTCCTCTTTAGCTTAGGTTATTCTTAGCATATGCTTAATATTAGGAATTTATGCTTATGTTGACAGGAGGGACACAAGCCCGACCAGATTATAAGCCCTAACATGAATGTTGGGGGAACTCTTATGACAAATGCCAGCAATGGTAACACACAGGTTCTTATAAATGGTCGTGAGATTACTAAGAAAGAGCTACGAATGCTTAAGGTTCATGCCCCTATGCTCTCTCTGTTTCTCTTTGTTAAGTCAGTTCCTTTTCTTACTTGAATGATTTAGCTATACCGATGCAGAGATGTGATATATCTCATCAGGATTTTAAAATCTGCTCATGTTTCTTGGTCCACTTGTTTGGAAGATTGCTACATTTGTATTCTCTTATTGTTAGAAGTTCTTTTAGATTGGAAATGATGATGTGGTACCGATGATCATAATTATTATAATGATGTGCTATTTTGTACATGGCAGCTTGCTGGTGTCCAGTGTGTGGGTAAAGTAGGCTTCTGGTTGAATGCTGATGGTTCATACCTAGAGGAGGGGCAGAAAAATATCAAGGGAAATATATGGGGAAAGGTGTGTGGTACTTGATGATTTTACTGTAATTTTTGTCGAAGTTATGATTCTCAACGAGACAAATCGTGCAAACATGAGCATTTGGTTTGGCTTTATGTGGCATTGAGCCTCTAGAAGTTGGCTTTATTTTGTTTTGTTTACTTTCTTGGCAGCCAGGAATGAGGTTGGTTTGTTCTCTTTTATCACTGCCAGTACCAAACAAGAGCTCAAATGTTTCTGGAGAGAATGTGAGTCATCAATTTAACAGCTCCATGCCAGAGTACCTGGAGCAGAAAACACTTCAGAAGGTTCTCTTAGTGGGGTATCATGGATCAGGAACCAGTACACTATTTAAACAGGTAACTGGCAGGGTTTTCTGTTACATTATTGAGAGGATTTTGATATTTGCTGTATCACTCTGAAATTTGGTATCATAATGATACCATCTTGTAGAGGATAATGAAATGCAAAATAATTTCTTCAATTTCATGACCTTTTCATCATCATTGGCGGAGGTGTAACTCCGTTAAATTATTGGAAGTTAATGTATCATCATTGTGCAATTACCTCAAAACAAAAATGAAAAAAAATGAAAAAGTGCACAATCACTGAGTAATTTGCGGTTTCTTATTTATTCACTTTTTTTTAATGTTTTGTTCAATCCATTTATTTGTTGTTTCAATCATGCTGGGCATATTGATGAGAAGATTGTGCCTTTGTCTAATTTTTTATGAAAAATGAATTCAGGCATTTATCTTATGATGAAATCATTGTGATATTCAATTCGCTTGTGCTAACTAATGAGCAATACATGTGAGTTTAGTTCTTTATGATAGAAAGTTTTCTTTCCTTAATCAATTTGAATTTGCTTGTTGTTGAATCATTCTTAGAGTTTGGGAACAACAATGAACTTATAAACAGCTTTTGAGGCTTCTAAAATTTTTTTAGTGCGTTTAGCCTTTTAAGTTACTTTGCTTATCCTTTCCTGAATACAGATACAGAAGTTAAAGATATTGTATGATTTGAGTTTTTTTTTTCTCCCCCAGGCTAAGTTCTTGTATAAAGATGTTCCATTTTCGGAGGATGAACGTCAAATTATTAAGTTGATGATCCAAACTAATGTATATTACTATCTTGGAATTTTACTGGAGGGGTGTGAACGCTTTGAAGAAGAAAATGTACTGGAAATGAAGAATCATAGGCTGCTTGATGAATCATCTGGAAATGGTATTGTTGTCACCAACTTTAGATTTATTGGCCACTGCATATTTTTAAGGGGTTTTATGCTTTAAATTTTGCACATCAGAATTCTTCGTCTAGAAACATTAGTGGAATGACATCTAGCTCTTGTAGACACTTGGAAAATATCGTTTTGATTTGATGAATTTACTACTTAATTGTCTTTGGAATAATAGAAATAACATCACACATGAAATTAAGTTACAATGGTAATTTCTTCTAGTGAGTGGCATCTTTTGGTTTTTTCTTTTTTTATTTTATTTTATTTTAAAAAAATCATTTTCCCTGCGTTTGCCTGAGATATTCAATTCTAGCGATCGTCATTAACAAGCGGGTGTGGGCAATTGTATACAAAACATTTATTAATGCTATGTGCTACTAGGGGCCTTGATTATTGGTCAGAAGCTTGACTCACCCAAGGGATAGAGACCAGGGCAAGTCATTGAAGTAACTGTTTTGTGCAACCTTGTGTCAGTCTTCATGAGTCTGTGTAAGACCTGAGTCTGGTCTTAGTCAACTGCTTGACCACTCGAGCTGATTGGACCATGCAACCCATAAGTTGATTGGCACTCCAAACTCTTATGTTACTAAAGTTTTTCTGATGGTTATACTAGTAATATTCAGATCATTAAATGGTTACATTGCTATCATTGAACAGTTGTATTACTGTATTGTCATCATTAATTCTGAGCATGAGTGGAGCATTGTTAGATTCCTTAATTCCTTTTGTCCCAACCAATGTTTGGAAACATGGCTCAGGAGCATAACTCAGACCCTAAACATCCAAGCTGCTCAGGTGAGTCCAAGTCGACTCACCCAAGTCTGCCCTGAGTCGCCCATGAAACCCAAAGAATCCTGAAAATTTGGGAAGAATATGAAAATTCAGAAAAAAAAAGGAAAAATTGGAAAAACAATGAAAAGTGTATAAAACATTGTAACTTGAATTGTGAATATAAAAAGCTCGTAAAACATATGTAAAATCAAATGTATGAATTTAAATTGAAATGATAAAATTTAACCAAAATTTTGAGGTCAATTCTCTTGTCTTTGTTATCGGTGCAAATCATGCCTCCATGTCAAAGGCTTTCCAGACACCCGCAATCGAGGCCCCAAGCTAGATTTTGGTTTCGAGTTCGGATCTAGTTGATCCAAGTTCCTGAAAATTTTGGATGAACAGTAAATCCGAAACTAAAATCTTATAAATCCAAGAGTTCTTGTGTTTTTTTGTGGGAAACAAAGCCTATGATTGAATGAAAACCCAAAAATAGGCTTAGAGAACACATTTCATCGAAGATCAACCAACCGTTGGGAAGAAATCACAATTCTTCGAAATCGGGCAAACCCTAGGTCGAATTCTTCAATCTGTCATTCTGTAAAAAATGATTATTTTTTCTCAAATCCAATTTATTAATTGACAGATCATGGAAAAACAAGTTTATGGCCCAAATTTGGGCTCAATTTGTTGCATCCTTCTTGATAAATGAAGGAAAAGGGGGGTGTACCCCATTTGAGTTCTGGTTTTTTATATACGCCCTCCAAATTGGGGGTTTACGAGCTTGGCACCCTGCCAAACCCGAGTGACATGGGTGAGTTCGAGTCAACTTGCCTGAGTTGGTTAACACCTGTCCTGACTATGAAAGTCAAACTTATTCTTTATTGAGTCTTGTCATTGTTGGAATTTACATTTGAGTATTGTGTGATGGTTTCTTAGATGTAATTTTGTTTGTTTACTCTATTTTTGGCTATAATTTTTTGAGTGGGTAAAAACTTACTCATATTTTTCAAGACACTGAATTGCTAGTTGTGAAATTTGGTGAACATCAGGAGATGTGAAGGATGACGACATTCAAAGCAGCCATGCGATAAGTCCAAGGTTGAAAAGCTTCTCAGATTGGCTTTTGAATGTTATGGTTGCTGGTAATTTGGAAGCTATATTCCCAGCATCCACCCGTGAATATGCACGAAAAGTTGAGGAGTTGTGGAAGGATGCTGCAATTCAGGCTGCATATAGTAGAAGGAATGAACTGCAATCACTTCCTGGTATCGCTAGTTACTTTCTAGAACGGGTAAGACTGCAGGCTTGTAATTAATTATCAATATTATAATATTATGTAGATTTTAGTGTGAGAAGAATATGAAATTACGAGAATTTCTAAGGTCGTTCAGGTGGTTGGGAAGAATATCCAATATTACATGTTTGAAATTTATCCCCTCCCATGAATCTCGGCAACCTAAGTTTGAGTTTTGAGGATACAGAATGAAAGTCTATTTTAAAAAGGGAAAGTGAATCCATGTAGCGAAAAACAAAGAAGTAAATTATCATCCAATGAATTGTGATATACACTTGTAGGCCAGTGGGGTCATCACCATTAAGTGAAATGAAGGATGGTGTAGAAAGAGTGGGTCACACTCCAACGGGACATGATCCCAGTTCTGGATCTGCACTCTTTCCATAGCCATCCATTTCATTAAACAGTATTTACCCTGATGCCTCATGGTTCTCCATAGTCTATCGGGTTATATTATACTTTCCTTTTGATAAATGGTCTCATACGATAAAATAGCTTTGGCTGTACATCAGATTGAATGTTGAATTTTAATTTTCTGTTTAGCTAGCATTCACCTTGTATAGATATTAGAATTGCAAAATTCATTAGAGCAATTATACAAAATTCGGCTTCTGAAGGGGAAAACTTTGTAGGTTGTGGAGATATCAAGGGCAGAATATGAGCCTTCAGATAAGGATATTCTTTATACTGAAGGGATCACTCCATCAAATGGGGTGGCGTCCATGGAGTTCTCCTTCCCTCATTCAGAGTTTGATGATAATGTTGATGCTACTGATCCGCACGATCCATTACTAAGGTTTGTCAGTATGGGTGCTACATGTTTTTTTTTTTAAATAACTATTTTTACCTGCCCCGAAGTAAGATGTCTTTTAAGAATCTGGAGAGATTTAGGAATGAGTCGCCGAAATAATGTTATGAAATTTTACCTATTTTCAATAATGTTTTCAAAGTTTACCTATTTTCCAAAGACGGGTACGTGTTTCAGTGTCCAGCATGGATATGCATATCAGAAATGTGGACCACAAAATTGACCTTTTTGACATGACATGTTTGTACGTCATTTTTAGGGGTGGGGATTCAAATAACCGTTGTAGGACTCTAAATAACATTAAGGATTTTCCTAGTGATGTTTGTGAAAAAAATAAGAGAAGCAAAGCCCCTACATTTCCAAGTGTTAGATATGCATGTCGTATATTTGAAAATGCTGACATATTCCGAGAACCATTGTTACGTTATGACATGCGTGTGTCCTTGTATAGTCTGTTATTTGGAAAGTCTGGTTGTACCAAAATTTATTTGTTCTTTCCCTCAAATCATGGAATACAAGATTTCTTGGGACCCTTAAATATGGTCCGATGAACAAGTTTCGGCTCTGACTATTTGATTGCTGGCGGTAAATCATATCATTCTCCTTTAAAGGCTAACACTCATTTTATGCTAAAAACAACCCAAAAATTACCACTAAAGATAGAATACATTTAGCTGCTGCCCTCCCTCACCTCTCTCTCTCTCTCTATCTTTCTCTCTCCCTCCAAAGCATCAACTTGTGTGGCCGATGAACTCGTGGATTTTGTTCCAGGTACCAGCTGATCAGAGTCCATGCAAGGCTTCTCCGTGACAACCGCAAATGGCTCGACATGTTTGAGGACGTGCACTCTGTCGTCCTGTGCATTGCCTCAACTGATTATGACCAGCTCTGCACTAATGACCAGAACGGGTGTACCACAAACAAGATGCTCCTCAATCGCAAGCTCTTCGAGACCCTGGTCACTCACCCAAGCTTTTCTCACACCCCCTTCTTCCTCGTCCTCACAAAGCTCGACCTCCTTGAAGCGAAGATACACAATGCCCCACTCTCTTCTTGTGAGTGGTTCAATGGCTTCAACCCCGTTCTCACAAGAAACCGTAGTTCCTCTCTCACCCCCAATTCCTCGACCATTTGTAAGAATAACCCAACTAAATCTAGAGGCGGCATCATGTACTATAACAGCCCCTCTAAACTTAGTGGTGGCACCATTAGCAATGGAAATAGCAGTACTGGGTCTACTTTGGGGCAACAAGCTTACCATTATATGGCTGTGAAGTTCAAGAGGCTCTTTGCTTCTTTGACGGGGCGTAAGCTCTATGTTTCGGGGGTGAATGGGTGGGAACGGAGCAGTGTTGATGGGGCTCTCAGATACTTGAGGGAGGTTATGAAGTGGAACGAAGAGAGAGAGGCCTTTTGTAGTGGTGAAGACTTTGGCTTTAGCACCGAGGTTAGCTCCTTTCAGACTGATACAATCAATGAAGGCTGTAAAACTGACCTTGCTCTTTGTGAACATTTGGTCTGTACATAAAATCGTCTTTAATGTTGGCTATATTTAGCTTTTCATTTGGTTTTGTGTGCTGCAGATGTTAATATAAATTTTCTTTTTTTTTATTCTTTTGATTGGGTAAGCTGTTTTTAACATGAACCATTGTACTGGGCGTTGATTTGCCAAAGTAATACAAAGAAATTAGTTTTTGAGAATTAGGTGAAGGTTGTCAGGACAATATTAGTACTATTGATATGTACATGAAGAGAACTGTTAGAGGATTTCAGTCTTTGATAACTCGAGATTTGGATTATTTCAGAACTTTCTGGATGAATATAATTTCCTTTTACTAGTTGAGAAAATAAATAAATACAATTTAGAATTACAAGAAATCATTCAATAATGAAAAAAACTAGTGATATGAGAACATTACTAGAGTTGCAAGCAGACTTAGGCAATGGTAGCAGGATGTGATCTTCCTCTATCACAGTAGACGGCTTTGAGGGCTTCATGGGAGAGCCGACGGCTATGACCTGGTTGGGAGTCACCCGTTAGGCTCTGAAGACTTAGACAGCTCAACCTGCCGCTTATGCTCCCTATTGATGCCGTGTCATAGGCCGGGGTACTACAATAGTTTGGATCATCTCCCTCTAATATGTGGAGAACCTGTTTTACATTGAAATGACTCTGAATTACCACTTTCATTATGTTCCAAATGGAGAGGGAGAGTCAAAGATCCATGCAAAAACACCCAGCCACTAATGCAGAGCACCGACAACATAAAATACTCAGAGAGAGAGAGAGAGAGAGTTTATGTACCTGTGACATTCGTGGTCTTGAGTGTGGGTCTCGCCTTAGGCATAAAGAAGCGGCATAGAGCATGCAATAGAGCTGTTGGTGAGTGTGCGGGGAATGTAGTTGCAATCGTGGATCTAACAGCTGAGAGATGGCACACTTTTCGAGTAAGGGGCGGGCCCACTCTGTGAGGCACTGTTGACCCTTTGGTCTACTAATGTCCACAGCTTTCCTGCCAGTGATGAGCTCCACCAGAACCACTCCAAATGCATACACATCTGCCTTTTCGGTTATTTGACCACTCTGAGCATATTCTGGTGCCAAATATCTGGTTTTTCAAGATGAGCAAAAGATCAGAATCAGGGAAGTTGACAGGATCATTGTTTAGGAATTTAGGAGACTATCTAGCAGAATACAAAAAATTTACAAGGCGGTCAGATGAATTTAGAAGGCAGGTTTAGCTTCCCTGGTTATTTTCTCTGTGATTAGTCTTCATCAGTAATCTTTGTCACTGGATGCTTATGAAATCGCAACATTAGTAGCCAATGTATTGAGTTATTAATTACCCAAAAGTCCCAATTACTCTAGTATCCACACCAAGATCACCATCCGGCTGCCACCTTGCCAGCCCAAAGTCCCCAACCTGAGTCATAGGTAGAGCAAATGAGGCCCCAAACATGTTAAAGTATTATATGTTAGGGATCTTAACAATTAGGTCGTTTGTCGAGGTAAACAATATAGATTGTTATGTAAGGGGTGGATAGTAAGGGAGTCATAAATATTGCATTAAGTTTTTGTGGTGCCCAAGCCGTTAATATATGAGAGAGAGAGAGAGAGATACCAATGGCTCAAAGTCATGGGTGATGAGGATGTTGTTGGGCCTCATGTCACGGTGCACTATGCAACCAACCCTACAGTCCTCATGAAGGTATCTCAGTCCTCGAGCTGCCCCCACTGCTATCTTCTGCCTTGCATCCCAGTCTAATGGGTCACGGCCTCGTCCTATTTCACAAAAATAAAGTTCAAACCTTGATTGCGTGTTATTTGTTCTATTCTTGTTAAATCATGGTTTCTCAGGAACTACCAGAGCATACTCAATTACTGATAGTATTCTAGCGTCTTCTTTCCTAGTGAGACTATATAATCAAGTTGAAATTAAATAGTCAGCTCAAGCAAATGTGAAGATAAGTCAATGGCATGTAATATAGCAACATAATTTTTCTCATTTTATGCAGCGAGATGAGTTTGATAGCATTTTACTTTTCCCACTTTTCTATTAAATTACTATGCCTTATCCTACCTATGAAGACAAATTCAATAAGTAAGTACGAAACATAAACTAATAGAAAATTAATGTGTGTTAGAATGCTTACCATACAAATGAGCGTCCAGTGACCCATTGCAAACATATTCATAAACCAGCAGTCTCCTCTTCTCTTCTATACAAAACCCAATGAGCATCACCACATTTCTATGCTGAGCACAACTCAATACCTCCACCTCTGAGCAAAACTCAACATCACCCTGAGAACTAGCTGCCTTGTGCTGCTTAACTGCCACTGCTTGACCATCTTCTAGAACCCCTCTATGAACTGAACCAAACCCACCTTCAGCCAAGAAATTAGCCTCTGAAAACCCCCCTGTTGCGAGCTCAAGCTCCTCATAACTAAACCACCTTGGTGGTTTACCAAAAAGTGGTGCTTTATGTTGACAAATAGAACATAGAGGTGGAGGAGTCGAAGGAGAGTTCCTGCATAAAGAGACTGCATCTCTTACTACTGAAGACAAGTAACCGGAATCGCTACGCTTATCATGTATGATTCCAGGGTCTTTGTAGAGACCCAATCTCCAGAGTCCGTCTTCTTGATCATTTTCTGAGAACTTCTCCATCAGGGTTTTGGGTATCTGAGGTTTCTCAATTCTATTGTAATTTGGGTTTGAAGGAACCCAATAATTTCCTTGTGTATCTGCTAATGATAATGTGGAATATGGGAATGGTTTTCTATGTATTGTTGTGATATCGATGTCAGATGAATTTTTGTAAGCTGTATGAAAAAGAAAAGCAGCACAATAACATGTCAAGAGCTACCCGAATCACATTGGTTCTAGTTTGTTGATAGCGAAAATCAGGATCCCAAATTTTGTTGAGAGAAGAAAAAGACAAAATATAGAAGAGAATTCTGTTTCGGCTCATAAAGTGCCACGATTAATAACAATCACAGCATGATTACCAAGTGGAATCTAAAGAAACTTTGGAAGTATTCTTACATGACGAGGAGCATCTTGTTTTTTGGTTGAAAAATCTTACGTGTAGCAAATATTGATAGAACTGATAAAAGAATGATAATGCAACTGTCTTGTGTGGTGGACTGTTTCTTCTGTATTCTAGGTGGATACTCTTGAACATTCTTTGAAAAAATATAAATATAGCTTTGACATCTTCATAACCTGATAGTTATTCTAGTTTCCAAGTACTTCGAAAATGGGTCTGTGTCATGCAAAATAGCATCCACAAATCAAAAGTAGAACCACAGCTTTAGTTCTACACTATATCTTTGAGAAGCATTGGGGTATTTCAACTCACATCACTCACTCCCCAAATTAATAATTGGGGATTTGAGACTTCTATTTTCTAGAAAACCATGAGAAACACTCTCAATTTTCTCACTTTTGGGTGCCCAATTATAGGGTCAAGTGAATTATGTTTTACCTTTTTCCTGATTGGTCTCCAACCACGGCTGAGAGTAGACAGGACTCCAGCCATCAATATCAGTCTCCGATAATATGGCTGACTCTTCTTCGACGCCTCTCTCTTGCTCTAAAAGGTGGGATTTTCCCTTTTGTGAGAGATTGAAAAGTGGGTTTGTTTCAGAGACATAGAACGGGGATGCACCGATATCATAACTGGATACTGAGGACAAGCCAGCTTCAGTTCTAGAGAAGGGAGATGTGTGCCCTTCAGGGCTACTGGTTGGGGTCGAGGGCAATTTCATCCTGTTTTCTGGCTGGTTTTTTGCAATATGATTCTTTAATTCTAAGGTTAAAATATCAGGGGTGTCTACCGGGTTTTGGACTCCTGCTAAGTTGAGCCTGAGAACCTTGGCTTTTGCTTTTTTCATGGTAACAATGTTGCAGTGGAGCTCCTCCATGCATATCTTCTCTTCTTGTTTCAAATGCCTGTTTAAAAGAAATGATAATCTATCAAATGCAATTGTTTGTAGGTAAAAGTATACTGCAGGCCACTCATGTCAAACTTTTCTCAAACTAGTATATTACAATCTACTGAACTATTGCGTGTGGTTTGCCACAAGAGGCATCACACTCTCTGTTCCTGGTGATGGACGGTGGGGATTAACCAATTATTAGAAAGTACAGTTACGCTCGCTCAAAGGGGGGTCTCAATCCCCACCGTTTGTCATTATAAGTTGAAGGTGGGTTCCTATGGTGTACCATTTTAGAATGCACCATGGTTTATGTTCTATTTACCCTTGTAAGAGATATAAGACCTACGTTCTGGTAGGATATTAGCTGTAATTTACCTCCCATAATTGTAGATATATCTATTCACGACCAAAATTGAGAAAAATGTGAATTTTATTTCCTTAAGAAGCCATCTTTTCGTTGAATTACTATCCAGGACAGAAGGATATTATCAGGTTAATGAAAATATTTTGGATTTTCGTACGTTACAATGGCACATTTGGAGTATGAGAGTATATATTAGTACACATTTCATTAACAGGAGTGTGAAAACACGATTATGGTAGGGTAAATAGCATTCTAACCGTGCATCTCTAAAATGACCGGTTTGGCTTTGCTAGCATGACCCAGGACTAGTGCAGGTTATTTGTCTGAGTGATCTGCGTCCACTACAGCCGTTTATATTGGGAAAATGGGTGGTTAAGATGATATGAAATCATCCCTACAGTCTGATTTATAGCAATGTATACTATACAGCTCAACAGTATTAGACCAGCATACCATAATAATTCAGGTGTAAGTGCCATCTTAACCGTCCATTTGCAAAATCAACAATGAGATATGATAGCTACAGGCCAGGTAAGCAAACCTCCCTTTGGCTATTCCCCGAATAAATGACCAATAAACCGCAGGCCGGGCATTTGACCGTTTCAAAATAATCCCTGTTTTATTTATTCCTTTGTTAATATATTTTTTCCAAAAAAGGCATCTCTTTCCTCTAAATTTCCTAAGATACTTTTTTCAATAATTTATGAAATGGAAACATGAAAAATTTTATTTAATTGAATCAATTCTTCACCTACATGATTTCCTAACAAACAGCCAAGAAATCACATATAAAAATATCTTAAATAATAATTAAAAAAAAGATAGTGGTTTTTCATAGAGGAAGTTACATATAAAATATCTTAAAAAAATAAAATAATCAAAAAACAAAAAAATACTGGTTTTTTATTCTATGACTCAAAGATAATTTATATATTTTTGAACTCTTCGTATGAATGAAAGTATAATAAATCACTAAATGTCCCACCAAACAAAGATACCTTGATAAATATACCCCAGATTAAAATTGCACTAGCTCCAAAATCAAATCATTTAATGGAATAAAAAAATTTAAAAATGGAATTAAAAAAAGAATAAAATAATATAAAAAATAAACCCAATGTAATTGAAAATGGTTAAATATTTTATTTACCCGTCTAATACAAGCCAGTTGGCGCCAGCTCTCTTTGCTTCTAGGGCCACTGCACCAGGCGGCGAAGCATACACAACCTTTATCTTCACGTTTATCTGCACCACAATTTCAAAATTTCAGTCAGTTTCGGAATATTTCGGTAAATTCGGAGAAATCAAGGATACCGAAGATACCCATGTTTTTAACATGAACTAACGAGATTTACCCACAAGTGTTCTCTGTCTTTTCTAGTTAGCATCTTCCTAAAGGTAACTTTTGTTACCTTGTGAACGGTACAAAAAGACCTGAAATACCCCTATTGTGGATAACAGTGACTTAAATGTCCTAATATGGGTAAGTGACCAAAATACCCCGGTATTTTCAGTGTTGACTCTTATGCTACTAATGAAAGTAGACCACATTCATACGGGTCGTGTATGCTATTGCACACCATAGACATGCTTACGAGATGGATTGTGGAGATTAAGTATTCATAAACTACATTTTATCTCCACCGTCCATCATTGAAAACAAATTTGGCATCGTACTATACATCCCTTGTGTAGGGATGTATAATCTCCACCATCCAATTATTGAAGGTAGATATCTTGGCAGATCAAAAACATTTTTATACCCCACTATGGTGTATAGCATAACTTTAAGAGTCTCAAATTAGACACATCTGACGTCCGTTCCCCTCCACAAACGCTGGAGAAGGGCATTATAGTCATTTTTCCAGATAACCAGGGGCGTTAAGATCTTATTGTCTGATCGACGTGTAAAAACCCCGGTCGCAATTTGACACACAATCCGGCAAATGCCAAACTTCCGGCCCCTGACCCGTGAACAGAAAAACAAAACACCGAAAGCATCATGAAACTCTCTCTCTTCACTCTCTCTCTCTTATAAAGAAAGTAGTTCTTACTCGGCTCTGGCCGTGGAGCTGGAGCATCAACTGAGAACAGGAGTCCGAGATCTCACATTTCCCGTCATCTGTACTCTCCGACCTCTGCTTCCGGTGACCGCTTCCGCAATCTCCGGCCAACCTTGGAAAGCTCCAACCCCTCCTCCCTCCTGCCCAAATTACCATATTACTCTCCCACAACAAATATATCTTATTTTTGCCATTGACCAAGCAAACTAATGTTCTTGATTTCTACATTGAAAGCATGCCACCAGTTCTTGTATCAAAATCATGGCTTCAAATTCAACTAATTTTTTTTAATAAAAAATAAACTCAAATAACAAATCAAATGCCAAATAATTCACAAAAAAAGAGAAAAATTCACGTTTATTTCGTTTTTATCTTTGGAAATTAACTCATCACAATTCAATCGTCATTTACACAGCGAAGGATCAGATGACAATCCTCTCCATGAAAGGCCAAAAATTCAAAAACCCACTCTGTTTTTCTTTTCTCACTCTCTCTGTAATTCACAACTCACCTTTGTTTTCATTGGAAACAACGGCCACCAAAGTAACAGAATCGCCCGCCTTAACAACGTGGGTCAGAGCCCAAGCCAAAGCATTTCGCGGGTTCTCTTTCCCGGACTTCACAGCTACCATCACTTCCTCACATTCCCGGTCGCCGGAGGATTTCCCTTCTCCGGAATTTGACGAATTTCCAGCGAAATCAGCATTCATCACACCAACCCAACAAGTCAAATCACTCAGTTCTCCCTCTTTCCAGGCAAAACTTCATCGGAAAACATCAAGTAGGTCGGATTTCTAATTTTCCGGCCACCCAATGAAGCTTAGGGAGAGAGAGAGAGAGAGAGAGAGAATTGGAATTATGACGAAATATATGCGTGTTCATCTGAAGCAGCCAAATTACAAATGCTGGTTTGATGTTATCCCATATATTTTGTCAATTCATATATGGGGGAGTTTAACCGGGGTTGGATTTCATTAACTATGGTTTGGTATATAACGTGGTAATGGGAATGGGGTTAGAGTAACCAGGGTTAAGTGTGGGGAGTGTTGGTTTTGCGGCGAAGACCCCCTCAATTGCGCTGGATTTTCGGGATCGGTGTTTTTGGGAAACAGGGAAGATGTCAAATATCCTTGTGAAGCTCTTTAATGGCATGTATATCCCTGCTTATTGTAGGTAAATAGTATGGGCCATATGACATGGGAAATAATGTCCTCACTAGGGCCCAATACCCTTAGAACTTAAAGGATTGTGCACAATAAGACAATACACCTTTATAAAGCCTCAACAATTTTTTGATACTTAAAAACCCTTGAATTTTATTATAAGATTTTTTTTAAGTAAGCGCAGTTTTGGTCATTTAAAAAGGTCGAATGTATATTTCTATAAAAAATAGTGGTATTATATTAATAATTAAAAACTAATTAATGCATGTTGTAAGTGATATCCAATACGTTGGTGATGTCATTGTCCATCATTCTTAATAAATATTTTTGTTTCTATTAAAAATTTATATTTTATTTTTAACTAATAGAAAAAGTTGGGATTAGCCAACTAGCTCATATGAACATATGAGTCCAACGACACAGATTGAAATTGGGCTGATCTAACGATCAAGTATGTCCGGTAGCATTTGAATTTTAATTTTTTTACAAATCCAAATCACTTGAAATTTCAGGCGTGTGTTCATAAAAAATAGTTGAATCTTGAAAAATATCAAAAAAATATTTTACATGAAATAAATTGATCAAAATACCCCCGAAAAGTTTCAAAGGTATTTTGGTCATTTTATTTTTCACGAATAATTGTTTTTATATTTTTATTAGGTGCGGCTTGATGAGAAGAACACACGACCAAAATTTCAAGTAATTTGAATTTATAGAAAAAAAATTAAAATTCAAATACAAAATAAGGTCGTGACCGTCAAATCGGTCCAGATTCAATCTGGACAGTTGGGCTCATATGGGTTAGTGGACTAATCCCATCTTTATTCCTTAACTAATTACTTTAAATACCCCTAGACAAAAAGTTATTATACCATAAGATAAGGTTATCTAAATGTCCTAAAATGTTGAGGACTTTAAGCGTATACACCACAAGTAGTGTAGTCTAACAAAAGCCTTTATATTTATACAAAGTTAACGAAACATATCTAGCCACATGATTTCGTATCTAATGGTCAATAATGATAGTGACATCCTTATACAAAAGTACATGATCATAATGCATATATTTTTGTAACTTATTATTAAGAACAAATATACAACAAGACTATTTATATTTGGAAAGAGGTAGTCACAATTAATCTTGACTATTGGATGTGATATTTGGTGGTTGCATTTATTCTATCAACCAAACACAAAGTTCAAAAAAAATTTCTTGAAGTTTTGTGATATACAAAAGTTATCAGATTTCACTTTACCTCATATGGTAATTAGTAATTGTAATATTCTTGTATTAAAGGTAAATGGTGTCATTGTATACGATCCTTAACATTAGTGGTATGAGATCTTGCCCAATTAGATGCATCACCACTCATTGTGTACTATGACTTCATCACCATCAAATTGGATGAGGGGAAGGTGACAGGTTGATAACCTTATGACTTTTTTTAGGTAGGAGAAATTGTGAGTGGGATGCATGTATCCCCTAAGCATCAAACGTCCATCTTTAAGATGGACTGAAACAAATAATCTTGCTTCTTGCAAACAAAGAGCCTACAGGGCTCATAAGTCATACTCTTGATCAATGAGAAGAAGAATACCTGATTAAATGATTTGCAATGTGGATTGAAAAATTTTAGTTCAAGAAACTCATGTAGGTTATTTGTTTGCCTGAGGTAGTACATGTACAGGTTTCTCCCGTGGGATCACACTGCATGAGAAGGAAGCTGAAAATCTCGAAGCCGACCATTTTGGTGCATGGAAAATGGTTCGATAGGACTGAAGGCCCATCTCACTCACAACTCATTGTAAATTGTAATTCAAGTGTTGAAAAACTTTTAAATTGCTCATCTTGGTTTCAACATTATGATTGTGATAAAAAATTAAGATTTCAAGCTGTAGAAATACTGTATATTGTTAGAAGTTATCTAGACTCTCCATTTCACCCTAAAAATAAGTGTTCACAAATATGTACCATTTGAGTTTCAAATCCTATTAACCGTGTTGGAAATTTATTTTAGAGTCATCATGAAGAGAGTCATCATGAAGATTTCCAATGCTGAAAGTGTTTTTTGGATGAGGATTTGAGGTGAGGCTTTATTTTGTTTTAAGAAGGCCTAAGCCTTATAAAAACTTCATCCTTTATTTAATAAAGATCCTCATGAGTAATACCTGTTTTTCTAAAAGTCAAGGGTGTTTCTCCTTCTCACTTTTTTTTCTCAAATATCTTATAAAATATGTAAAATAAGGAGACCTCCTCAATTCCTTGGCAACAAATAATTCGGAATTCACCTTTGAAATTGAGATAAATAGTAGTGATTTCATGCAACGGTTGTATAATAATATAATGCAATAATTTTAAAAAACTATGTTAGAGTTATTTTTTTAATCCAAAATTTGACATATACACTATTTTCATTCTAATGAACAAGCACAAAAAAGAAAATTTAAAAAACGGAGCCTAGGAAGTATTTTTTTAGTCTAATTAATATAGTCCGTATATTTTGATAAGATGCTTAGATCTAGGCCTTAGAAGGATTTTTTCTTGTCCAATTTTTTTAGATTGCTTTATTACCATTAGATGAACAATGTTAAAAAAGAAAAAAATGATTCTGAGTTTGTAAAGGCTAAGATATTGAAATGCACTGAATGAATAGTCTAGATTTGTTGTTAGAGGGGACTCATTTTGACCATATCTAGGGTTCAAATTGAACCTTTTTTTTGGGGGATTGATTATTGAGAAGAAGAGAGAGTGTGTGTGTAAAATTTTGGGTCATACAAATATCACAAACATGGCTTTTTAGAAGTGTGGTTGCATTATACTATGATACAACCTTTGCATGAAATCATTGCCCGAGATAAATTATAGGAAAATTATCATATATATTCCATAAAGTTCTATATATTTGAGATATATTAAAACGTAGCCTTTAATACACCCATATCTATATTTTTCTAAATTTTTCATAAATGACATTTTTACCCTGCCACGAACATAATAAGTACGTGGCACTGTATTAAACCCCAAACATGCATGTTCCCCATGGTTTTCACCCCTTGCTACGACTCTATTAGAGTTGTTGTGGTTTGGAGGTTCCTGATACCTCTAAATCCATCATGGATGTAGTAGGACCGTAATGGTGTTGCCACGGCTCTATAAGAGCTATAGTGCGTTCAGGGGTTTTTGGTACCTTTATAGAATGCCTCTTTAGTGTTTAGGAGGCGAACAGACCGTCACAGACATAACATATCCGTGACGGTATTGCAACGACTCTAATAGATTTGTTTTCATGTTGAGAAATATCATAAGTCAAACATGTTCATCACAAGGGAAAGCTCTTGCATCATTGGCATGTTCATAGAATAGGGAACATGTTCATAATGTAAGTGGGGATGTGTACAATTATGTAAAGAAGCATCTCAAATCACACGTTACCCTCATGTCAAACAGGTAGGTTTGGGATTTAATATGCCGTCATAGACCTATTATGTCTACAACGGAAGTAAAAATATTAGTTATAAAAAAAAATATAACGATATAGTTATAGATGTATTAAACGAGAAAATTTGGTATATTTAGAATATAGAAAACTTTATGGGATATATCAAATAATTTTCCTAAATTATAACTTCAAAACTTAGACAATCACATGTTTTCCTAAATTATAACTTCAAAACTTAGACAATCACATGTTTTCCTAAATTATAACTTCAAAACTTAGACAATCCCATGTAAAATATAGAAGTACAGACGTCTTCTAAGTTTTATTTGCGATTAGGATCAGACCGATTGTTAAATTGTTCAGGGACTTGGTCTAATTAAAACCTATCGAATCTTTAATCAAAATAGTTAGAATGGATTTTAGAAATAAAAAAATAAAATTACTTAAAAATGTGAATGAATACAAAAAATTATTAATTTTGTTTGACGAGCACATTCGATTACAATCGGCTAGCCAGACCGAACATATCTAGCTAAATATTTATTTTGACTAAATTTCAACCAAACTCACTTTTTTATTGTAGGTCATAAGGGTCGTGGTCTAACCGATCATCCAGCCAATCTCGTCACTATCGTTCCATCTATACAATGACGACTCTACATAAACTACCCAATATCTAAAGGAAAAAGTTTATATAAAGTTGTAATTTTAAAATGTAGAATCACAGATGCACCTCAAAAATCTAACGGAAATGTTGTTTTAATGTTGAATAAACCCTTTAATCGATCATCTCGACATTGAGATGTATGAATATGAAAAAAAAGAATTTTTTGAGTTCCGGAAATAATGCATCTTGAACACATTATCTAGACCGTCCATTTTCAAGATTTTCATATATTTATAGATCTATTTGATTTTAACTATTTTTAAAATTTAAAATTTTCTAATTAGGTATGAAAATAGATTTTAAGATAATACTAAGAATTTTTTATAACAAAATTACATGTTATAATAAAATTTTAAGGTGCGCCTTGTTTAAGGGTGCATCCTTATAAAAACCGCACTCATATCTAAAAAGCTTTAATTCAAGTGAAAAAAACCATGCAATTTCATGTGGAGTTAATGTAAAAATCAGGCGTAAAATGCGGCGACGGAAAGGGCAGTTTGAGGATTTCTATGTTCATCATTATTTGACTTTTTAAGTAAGGATTTGCTTTTAGAGGTTTGTTGTCACTGTTCCTTTGCAGCCAACACTTACTTGGCATTACCTTCCATTATTCTCAACAACTCTCGGCTTTTTATGC